AAATGAACAAAGACAACTTTTAATACCACATTAATTAAAATCTAATTAGGCTTTCTTGGAAACTGAGAGCCTGATTCTAAAATAATTATAGAAATACAAAGGAACTAGAGTAACCTAACCAATTTTGGAAAAGAACAAAACTGGAGGAATTACACTAGCTGATTTCAAGACACGACGATACTGACATATCAATAGCACAAAACTGAACGTTCAGAGATAGACCAACACATATATGCTTAATTAATCTGTGGCAAGATGCAAACATAATTTAGTCAAGAAACCACAGTCTTTTAATCCAAAGGAGAGTAATAATTAAATATCCTTGAATATTATCCATGTGTTATTCCCAAATCACCAAAAGGTATATTATGTAAAAATATATGATTTGATCCATATTTCACGCCATCTATACAAATAACTCAAAACAGGTCATAGAGCTAAATATAAAACTTAAAACTTTTAAACTTGTACAGAAAAAGAAAGAAAATGTTTATGACTTTGGGGTACCCAAATAACTCTTATACATAACATCAAAAGTACAATTCATTTAAAAATATTTATACATTGAATTTTATAAAAGTGAAAAACTCTTCTGTTTGAAACACATTAGGAGAATGAAAAGAAAATTTACAGACTGAGAGAAAATATTTGCAAATCATGAAGACAATAAAGGCCTTATATTCAGATTTATGTATTTTTTAAAATTCAATTATACATAAACAATAAAACAGCAAAGTATTTGAACAGACTCTTTATCAAAAAAGTTATATGGATCATAATAAAAGCATATATAAATATACTCAATCACAGTAGTCAATCTCAGTTGGTCAATCTCAGTAGTCAGAAGAGAAATATAAATTAAGACCACAATTTGATATTCCTATACATCTATTGGAGTGTTTAAAATTTAAAACATTGGCCATATCAAGTGTTAAGAGGCTGTAGTTTACTAGAACCCTTATAAACTGTTGACAGAAATGTCCAATAGCACAACCACTTTGGAAAACAATTTGTTAGTTTTTCAAAAGTTTAAATATTTCCCTATTATATGATCCAACTATTCTACTCCTATATATTTATACAAGAGAAATAAAATATATGCCCATAAATAGAACTGTTTATAAATGTTTGTATTAGATTTATAGGTGATAGACAAAATCAGGACACAACTCAAAAGTCTAACACAATGTGAAGAGATAAACAGACTGCTGTATAAGCACATATCTCTACTATGAAATAAAACAAATGGACGCTAAAAGCACACAGTGTATTATTCCATTGATACAAAATAATAGAAAATGTAACAGAAATGTAACAGAAAGCAGATATCATTATCTGGAGAGAAGATGTTGAGGAAAAGTGAAGGAGGAAAATTACGAAGGGGATTAAGGAAACTTTGGTGAGTGGCAGATATGCAATTATCTAGATAGTCATGATAGTTTCATGGATATACGTATTTGTTTCAAATTGTCAAATTGCACATTTTAAGTTGAGCAGTTTATTTTGCCCCAGATTTATTGTGAACAGGTTTTATATATCAGTTATACTTCAATAAAGCTGATTTAAAAAGCAAAAAGAAAGAAAGAAAGAAGAAAGAAAGAAAGAAAGAAAGAAAGAAAGAAAGAAAGAAAGAAAGAAAGAAAGGAAGGAAGGAAGGAAGGAAGGAAGGAAGGAAGGAAGGAAGGAAGGAAGGAAAGAAAGAAAGGAAAGAAAGAAAGAAAGAAAGAAAGAAAGAAAGAAAGAAAGAAAGAAAGAAGAAAGAAAGAAAAAGAAAGAAGGAAAGAAAGAAAGAAAGAGGGAAAGAAAGAAAGAAAGAGAAAGAAAGAAAGAAAAGAAGAAAGAAAAACATTGGTGGCAAATATGTAAGTTTTTTAGCAAAACTGCAGGCTTGTAATATTTTGCACCAGGTAGAGTCAAATGAAATAATAAATGTCTTTGAATGAGCATGAATTGAAGTATCAGAGGTATGATTTTGATCTAAAGGAACAAAAACCATAGCACATTTTGTGGGTCACTTTTAAGAGTTATTTTAATAATCTTTAGTAATGATTTTAAAGTGTTTAGTAATATTTGGGCCCAAAGTAAAGGGAGGCTAGGAAAAAATGGAACATCATTTCTGATCCCAATTTTTTTTTCTCTCTGTTATCAAGATACAATAATAATTCACAGATCTGATTTTCCACTTATATTATGCAGCAAGTGTGATAAAGCCCTCTAGGAATATGGTTTTTCCTTCAACTTCAATATCATTTATACAATAGATTAATTTAACACCGTAAATAAGGAAATTCTAACTGGGTGATTTGGGAATAACACATGGATAAATTTAGGCAGTACTTGGAATGAAACAAAATCAAATCAATGACACTTTACTACACAGACTTTTTTGTTCTATGTGCAAATACTCAAATAAAATTATATTTAGATTTTTTAAACTAACTGTATTAATAAAACAAGAAGTTGAAGCATTAAATTGAAAACATTTCGAGGTCCCAGAACACAAGTATCAGATGACTATTGGTACCTGATAAATATCAACCAGTAGCAGAAATTTATTAATAGCATTTTCCAGCCTTCCATGAAGCCACCTACCACAATCTGTGTTATCCCTAGTATTTGGTAGATCAGCCTATTGGAAAATCTCTGTGTATTAGTCCATTCTCCTGATGCTTTGAAGAAATATCCAAGACTGGGTAATTTATAAAGAAAAGAGGTTTAATTTACTCACAGTTCTGCATGGCTAGGGAGGCCTCAGGAAACTTAAAATCATGGAAGAAAGTACCTCTTCACAGAGCAGCAGGAGAGAGAATAAGTACCAGCAGGGGAAATGCCAGATGCTTATAAAACCATCAGATCTCATGAGAACTCACTCGCTATCATGAGAACAGCATTAGGGAAACTGCCCCCATGATTCAAAGACCTCCCACAGGGTCCCACTTTTCACATGGGGATTACAGGGATTATAATTCAAGATGAGATTTTGGGTGAGGACACAACCAAGCAGTATCAATCTGGCTTATCACCATTATACAACAAAAGTCTCTACTTGTATAATGGAAATTAGTAGGAAAAAAAAATTTTTCCAGGTTTTTTGATAACATGAACACTCCCCAAAATAAAGAATGTTCACAGTATCTTGGGACACAGGAGAAAACTTTCTTTCTTCCTTCCTTTCTTTCTTTATTTCTTTCTTTTTCTTTCTTTCTCTCTCTCTCTCTCTCTCTCTCTCTCTCTCTCTCTTTCTATCTTTTCAGGGTCTTGCTCTGTCACCCAGGCTAGAGTACAGTGGCACAATCTCAGCACACTGTAGCCTCGACCTCCTGGGCTCAACCAACCCTCCCACTTCAACCTCCCAAGTAGCTGGAACTACAGGTGTGTGCCGCAATGTCCAGCTACTTTTTGTAATTTATTTATTCATTTATTCATTTATTTATTTTGTAGACATAGGGTTTGCCACGTTGCCCAGGCTGACCTTGAGCTCCTGAGCTCACACAATGCCCCCTGCCTTGACCTCCCAACGTGCTGAGATTACAGGTATGAGTCATCACACCCTGGCCCCATCTTTTTGTTATAAGTTTCATATCAATAAAGAAGCAGAGGTACGAGCCACAGAGTAGAGAGGCCCTTCCAAAACCAGGTGTTACACCTGAAAAGAAACACAAAACACAAGCCTGTTTCTGGGTCCTTTCCAATCAGAGTTCTCTCATCCTAGACTGTGGAATTCATCCAGCTCACTCCCAGAGAGGAAAGTAATAATCTTCTTTTACTTTTGTGGGGATTTTTTGGAAGTGCCTTAAGGGAACTGAAAATACATGCAAATGATTAAAACTCCTACTGAGAGTAAAATACCATTTCCATAGTTTATTAAGCATGATAAGATTCACACAGGTTTTATTTTTAATTCATTTGAAAAGATTTTTATTTGCCCTACCTCCAGTCTCTCTCTCTCCCTCTCTCTCTCTCTCACACACACACATACACATACATATACACATATATTTTCTCTTTGTAGAACATGGATATTCTTATTAGTTTATTCCTAGAGGAATGAAATAGTACACATATGACTCACAGCCAAGTTAGAGTCTTAAACTCTGCAGAGATAATGAAATAATCATAAGAACAATTCATTTCAAGAGTTTCCTGATGTCCTTTTCTATCTGCAAGTGTATTCAAGCAAGCTAAACATGTAGTGTTAAATAAAGCGTTAAACCAACTCTAGCAATCACACATAAAGCTTATTTAAAGCTGTTATTTCCGTGTAATATTTATGAATAGACTCAAACGAGGATGATTTGTCAACCAAACAAAACTGAGCTGGTGAATTATGCTCTGCAGTGTATGGAATCACCAGCTGGAAAGACACAGTCACCCCATCTACCAGCTCTCCACTTTGGAGAGGACCTCCATGTTCTAAGTGATTTGTTAGTAAGTTGATCAAATGCCAAATTCAATTTAGCTTTTAGAAATATCAAGCCATATTATTTGTTTGTTTTTGTTTAGATTTTCTTTTCCTTGTTGAACTAGAAGGCAAACATTCACCATTTTTTGTATACCATGTTGTTCTAAATGCTGAAGCGTATGTTTAAGGTAGCTTCCAAATTTTCCAAATGAAATTATCAAAGCAGCACTCTCCTGATGCACAAAAATCCCATATAACAACCTCTATATTCCATATTCTCCTATGGGTAGAAAATGCCTAGAGAAGGTCATCATGAGGATGATCACTACATGATATTGCCTAGGAAGTTTATGTCTTAGACTTGGAGATGTTGGTTTTTCTTTTCTTTCAGTTTCTCCTGGAAATGAAGATCATTCATTACCATGTGCTCAAACTCAGAGGTTATAAAACATTGGAAATTTAGATTCCTGTGCAAGAAACATATAGAGGGGGAAGACAAGGAGCCATTGAACTGCCTGAGCCTTCTCCCATCTGGCTGATAATTTAGCACAACCTCAAGTGATGCCTTTCTTATTGTTCCATAGAGAAAGAGACACCTATGCTCTGGCTTCTCTTCATAACGAATAAATCTTTCGCCTTTTACTAAACATTTCCATGGAGAGGAACAATTATGAGTTTATAACTAAATTTTTTGATGTCATGCTTAGGCAGGGCTCATTATTTAAAAAAAAAAAGAGAGAGAGAGAGAGAGAGAAAGTGACACCTCTTTGTCCCTGGGCCATTGTTTCTAATTCTCCAAAGCTTAGCTTTGTGGCTACATCAGATGCAAAATGTGTTTAAGAGTACTGCAACGCAGGGACGTTCTTCAAAGGGAACTCTGGAACCGAGTGTAAGTTAGTGAGACAGAGGAGACCTCACATGATATGCTGTAAGTGTTCTCCAAAATAGAAACAAGGTTCCAAACTTCCATGTTCTACCTTGGAGGTCACACCTTCCTTCTCACCAAGACAGGTGTGATTTCTAAAATAAGATCTGCTTTTAGGGATAACATCTAGTAGCTTGTGGTAGCATCTAGAATCAGAGACATCTAAATTCACTCTGCTTACGCTGGATTCTGTCTCTGACCCTGGGCTGCTATATCAACCTTTCTGCATTCCTCTTTTCTCCTCTGTAACATTGGCAGAACAATAACTTGGAGGGTCGTTATAAGGAGAAAATGAGCAAATAGAAGTAAAAATTTCCTTCTATAGTGGCTGTCATTTCTGTAGGTGTGCAATAAATGCTAATGTTTCATCTTCTTGAACAAGTCACTCTTCATTTCCTTTTTTAAATTAAGGCTTCTGTTTTAATTGTAACTTGGAGGCTTTCTGGACCTAAAGTCAGGCAAGAGTATGGCTCCCTTGTCATCAGTGTCATTTCCACAATTCCATACTCTTCCCAGGGTGTCTAACTATAGTAGAGGTCTGAAGTTAGAACACTTTCCCAAGGAGAGATTAAACACTGCATTCATTATGGCAGCTGGAAGGCTCATTATTGCTTTTCCAAGAGGGAGAGATTTATGGCTGTACTTAATGAATGCTAATAGTTTTCTTATCAGTGGGTAGCAATACAAACATTTTTGTGTATGGTAAGGTTAAAGTAAACCTTCAGAGTATCCTTACAAAACTTGAAAGCTAATGATTAGTTCTTGACAAGCCTGGCTAATAACAGGAGTTCCTGGAAGGGTATGTAGGCCTAGCGTAGCCAGAATACATTATTCTTCAGTGTTTTACAATTTCACATGTGTCCTCTCTGAGCTGGGCTGTCACAAAAAAATTCACATAGCTTTTGTGCTTTTCTTAAACATCTAGGCAATTGCACTCTTTAAACAGCCTAAACTGGTTGCTGGGTAAAGGAAAGCCAAAAACCTTTCTTAATCAGTTAGAAAAAAATATATTCATATAACTTCAATTTGCTTTGCAAATAGATACAGAGTCAAAGAATGTTTATCAGGCACCTACTATTTATGGAAAATGTTATTACACTCTTTCGTATATATATATATACATATATATATGGCATTTAATTCTTACAGTATCTCTGTAAAGTTTGGCTTCTGAGGAAACTGGAACTTCAAGAGGGTGTATGATTATCCAAGGTCACATTTGAAAATTTACATCTGACTCCAAGTCCAAATATGCTTGGCCCACAGTGTTCACAGTACATTTCTAGGGCAATTAGCCTGCTCTTCTAAGCCACTCAGGAGAAGGCCATAGTCAACTGAGAATGGGGATTTCAAATTTAAACATTGCCAAGAGTGATTGTTTCTAAGACGAAAGAGTACATATCTCTAAGCTAAAAATGAATGTTTTTATATTGATGAGCAATAAAGTCCTATCAGTCAATTTGCACAAATTATATACTGAGATAGGTTTTAAATAATGTTCTCTAACACGTAGTTATAGTAATAGCAGCTCAATAAAATAATTGCATTTAATAGCTAGCCTCAGTCTTGCTTAGTCTCTCCGACACCTCCTACACTGGTTATGATTTAAACCATGGCAATCAGGTAATTCATGTCAAAAAGCCCATTACTCCAAAAATCACCCTGAGCCTAATTCCCTGAAATTTTTATAGTCTTTCCTTCTTTTCCTTTCAATAAAAAAATGAATAGGGAAAACAATAGGTACATATGCATTCATGTAAAAAAGCTTAGCTTTCATTTCAAGTGCTTTTATCTCTAGTAATGGTCTACCTTTGGGGAAGTTACTTAGCTTCTCTAAACATGGTTCCTTTGTTTTTGAAATTAGAATAATGGCATCTACTTCTCAAGACTGTGCTCTGGGAGAACATTGGTCAAATTTCAGTTTATGGGTTGAAAAACCTCTGCCAACACCACACAATTAATGTTTTTTTTTCCTTTCTTGTGAAAGGACAAATGAAATTAACAAATCCTGACTGAGTTCTATTATACTAAAGTGAGTCACTTCAAGAGCTGTGTGCAGCTTTCCCAGAAGATAAATTCCACACCTTGTAAAAAATGGAACATGATGTCCCTTGTTAGTGTTTAATGTTGTTACTGACTTCCCTGAACTGGAGGTAAAAGAGTCAGGGAGGAGCCTCTAGACCGCCAATCATTTCTGTATGCAATCAGATCACAGTAAGGGTCAGAATATCTCATGGGTAAACGGTCACCTATGGTGGACAAAGTTCTGTTTGTCACTCGAACCCTCCTTCCCAAAATGGGCAAGCAGAAGGGCTGAAATCAATGTAGTTAATACATAAATATTAATTCCAACTTATGCAGACATCAAGAAATCCAAGAAAAATCCCTTTGACTTCTCTTGTCTCATAAGGTCTCAAAATTTGTTTACAGCATTGCTCATTTTTGTTCAAGGAAAAACTTCAGACAAAATACACTTAACAGAATTCATTTGAGCAACGGAAGAATTTATTAATCCTGTGGTACTCAAAACTGGAAGAGGTTTCAGAGATCTCCCCTCCAGCAGCCTAAGCTATGAGCCTTTATAGGCTGAATGACAAGTAAATAAATTATTTGATTGGCTACAGCAACGTGGTTGCCTTATTTGGATATAGTCTGATGGGAGTTTACTAGTTATACAGCCAATTGGCTGGTTGGCTATTTGTGATTGGCTGAGCCTCATTTGCTATTTTCAAGTCAGCAACAAGAAATACCTCTAAGCTAAGTTTCAGTGGCTTACAGGAAGTTTAATTTGCTTCTGCTTCTTACTGAAGTTATCTTTGAGCAAGACCTCATTCTTGCTCTAAATAAAAAATAAAAATACAAGAGTTACCCTGATTTACAGCATAATCTGAAAACAGAAGACATTTGCAGAGCTCTTAGCTCTGTGAAGGCTTATAATTAGGCATGAAGAGAAAGGGAGTTGCTCTCCACTTCTTGCTTGTTACTAAGGTAGAGTGAGTGAATACTTCTTAGCACAACCAGGCACCATCTAACCAGCTGACCATGCTAGTTAAAGAGGCTCTTGTGGTTTAAGTCCTTAGCAGTAACAGAGTTTAACTTGCTGTAACCTAGCTCAGAGGACATACTTCCAACTATGACATGATCTGAATGGATCAAATAAGGCGCTGAAATTTGTGGAGTCAAGACATACTGAAACTCTGTTTATCCTTTCCATCTCTAGGGACTTGGGCCAGACATTCAGTAACCAGAAGGTGAAAAGAACATCCAAAAGCACCTCACCTATCTCAGAGGTCAACACAGGCCACAGATGGTCTGACAGGACCTTCTGACTTACATCATTCATTCCTTTCTCTCTGTTCTTTCTGACACATCCAAATATGGTGGCAGGTAGCCTTTCATGACCACATGCGAAGATCATCACTGTCATTTGTGCAGCAGCACATACATTCACAGATAAAACAAGCCTTGGGAAATTTGAGTAGCTGTCAACAGCTGTCTCCAACTGACTTTGCCACTTTAGACAGCTCCCTCACCTTCTCTGCCTGTGCTGTTGTTAGAAATGGGTTAAATTTATAGGAGCAGCAAGACTTTGGAGAATATAATCTGCCCTGCCAACCAACAGATTTGGAGAAAATAAAACTTCCACTGGCAAATAATAAAGTCAGAGTGCCAACTAAATTCATCAGAAAAAGTTTGTGTTTTGAAATTCTCCCACTCTATTTAAAAGATGGGAAGTTGTCATATCTTGAACTCAACTCCACTCACAGTCTTTTATCTCCTAATGAGTCGACCATGGTATTATTCTTGGAGGTGAAGTCATTTTGGAAGTGAAGAGAAATTATCCTTGTATGTGTCAAAATTTGTCAAATATCTCAAAATCTCTGGGAATGAGAATGGCAGAGACATTAAATGCAAGACAAATATAGAAACTTGACAATAAAGCCCCTTGAGTTGCAAATGTTTTGCCTGCATAATCTGCCAGAACTCACATTTTGGAAGCCTGAGATGCTGCGGACGTAATAATGACAATACACTCTGCTTGTTGCAAGAGAAACTTCAGCTTCACCACCACTATCTCACTTCTGTCTCTAACCCCCCTTCTCTTGCCCAATTTAAACCTCCAGAAAAACAAAACAGAACAAAACAGGGTCAGCAGAATATGCTCGGTTACATTGTCCAATTTACAAATCCCCTTGAGGTAGAAACTGTGTCCAGATTAGAATCTACACACCCAAGTCTCCAGCTCATGTCAAGGTGCTTCCTGTCTTTGTCCAGCAGCATTCATGGAGCCTCTTTGAAGAGGGCAACGTTTCCAGGCTGCTGAGAGTAGATAAACGCCTGTTGTTTTACACAGGCTGGGTGCTGGAGCGAGTGTAAAACTCTTTGCATTGCATAAAGGCAGTCTGATAATAACAAATTGCCTTGTCAACCGCAAGATATACTTAGTTATTAATGGAAATAATAAGAGATTATATCTGCTTTGCACACTACAATCAAAAGGAAGATCAAAGCAAACTAATATTACAAACAGTTAACAGTACATGCTAATGAGATAAAAACCACTTTCATCTCCCCCTTCCCAAATGCACCACTGGGATAATTATTGATAACACATAATATCATTTAAACATTGACAGTATTTTTAATACCGAAAGTCCAGCCACACCAATGAGGCTTTTTTTCTATTAGGTAAAATTGTTTTCAGTGTTTTCTTAAAATAAAACTGCTTAATTGCATTTCGCTGGTGTTATAGAAATACATGACTATGAATCATCCCAAGTGTTCTCAGC